TATATATATATATATATATATATATATATATAATATAATAAAAAACAGTAAGATATATAATCCGGTGTTCTTATAGATATTTTTTTTTTTACAAAATAGTGCTCAATGTAAATTTACAGAGCATTAATATTATAAATTAATTGATTTAAAAAGTGTTTTTTTTTCGCTACACAGATCTAACCATGTTTCAAAAATGGAAGCTGAAAGCTCCAAATTTAATTTTTAATTAAATTAAAGACATTAGTTGAGGATGAAATGGAACTAATGTCTTTTAATTTAATTACAAAATTAAATTTGGAGCTTTCAGCTTCCATTTTGAAACATGGTTAGAACTGTGAAGCGAAAAAAAAAATATTTTAAATCAATTAATTTATAATATATGTATATATATCTATATATATATATATATATATGTGTGTGTGTGTGTGTGTGGGTGTGTGTGTGTGAGCGCGCGTGTGTGTGTGTGTGTGTTAAAATTGGTCCGTGTCTTTGGGGTTAAACTAAAATACATAGTTACATTTTCATAGGCACAGTTTTAAAATTTAGGTTCATTTGCAAGAAGAATGGATAACATATCATTTACCCACCATAGAGAAGACTCCCTGCTTCCTATCAGAGTGGCTGATGCCCAACTCCAGGAGAACGTCACTCTGCGCCTGCGTGGTCTCTCGCTTTCTACTGATCTGAAGTAGAACAGCTACATTGAATCAATAGCTTCATCTACTGTCAGGAAAGTTGGTTCTCTGTGTCGCGCAAGGCTTTTTTCTCGACTGAGTTCATCCTTAAAATCTACAAATCAACCATTTGCCTTTGCAGTGAATACTGTTGCCTTATATGGTATGGTGGCCTCGCTGTTCATCTAGAGGTTTTCAACAAAATCCAAAGACGGATAAACAATGTGATAGGTCCTGATCTGGCATTTCGTCTACAGTTACTTTCTGAAAGACGTGCTGTGGTTTCCCTCTGTCTTTTCCACAAATATTTTTGATGGCAGTTGCTCTGACGAGCTACCTTCACTGGTACCCAAAGTGCATGAATTAAAGCGTGCTACTTGTTTGGCATTTCGGTCCCACCCTTTCACTGTCGAAACGATTAAATATAATCGTCTCTTCTACTCCAACAGCTTCTTCACTCACACTTCCTGACAATGTAACTCCCTTCCTATAATTTTCAAATATTCATATGTAATGTTAATCGACATCTTCTGATGCCTTGATCTTGATCCCAGCCCTTCTCTTTATCCTTTCCTCAAATACCTCTCTTTACTCTTGATCTCACCCTCTGTAAACCCTTGCGTGCTAGTGCCACTCCCGCTTTGCTTGGGGCGAAATGCTTAAAAAAATACATGACGTAAGATGCTAAAGCGTCTCCGAGTTGAGAAAGACGCTGGTCGGGTCGGAAGTGGTCGTATTGGAAACGAATAAAATGGACGCCGTCCATTTGCTAACACACAATTATACACTTGTTCCGCTGGTTTCCTAGGGGCTAATGGCTACGAACGGCTGCCACGCCCAGGGGAGTCCATTACGTTTAGAATACACATATTAATCGTATTAATAATGAAAACAAGTAAATCTTTTCGGCTCTGGATTCCAGATTTCGTCATCATAAGCAAAGATATATAATTTTGACCCGTAAGGACAATATCGTTTCTATCAGTCTATGCCAGCGTTTATGCGGGTCTATGTAACTTAACTGGGATCCATACAAAAAAAGATGACAGAAGCATTATATGGAAAACAAATGACACGATGAAAAAATATCGACTACCTTGGGAAGAAGCACAGTTCAACGCCATTACTTTTCCACCATCTTATATTGTTGAATCGAGTCTTAGTAGTGTGTCTAACCTACTATCACAAGCCGTAATAGACTCGATAGCGTGAAAAAGGGTGATATTACTTGCATTATTTACATTACTAGGGCCGTTATTCTCATTGCCATATTCACAACGTTGCTGCCGTTGTAGGCTCCGGCCATCTTCAGGTGATTGGATCTCTGAGATGAGGTATTACGATTACTTACATTATTTACATTACTGGGACCGTTATCCTCATCTTCATTGCTATATTCACAACGTTTCGGCCGTTGTACGCTCCGGCCTTCTAGTGTTCAGTTCTACAAGGTAACAGTTCTGTGGTAGAAACTAGCTGAGTTGCAAAGTAGCAAAGAAATGATTACCGTCCCAACATTAAAACATTTTTTTTTTCTAATAGAGCCTATACAGACTTATAGCCTACAGCAGACACAAAAGTGCGGCCCAAATAAAAGTCCAGCCCGGCCTGATGTGCCAACATAACTACGACATTGCTTCATAGAGATGCATGCAACCAGTACGCTGATGACGCTCTATTACTGAGCGGAGGACTTCCTTCAGCGGTCAGGAGGGTGCAGATTTCCCCCGAATGAACCATTGGGCACTTGTCCATGCCGAAGACGAGCCGCCAAGTAGAAATACATCGGCTATTATTTGACCTGTAGTAGGTTGGTCCCGCCAGATCTATTTACCCGAGACGCACTACAGAAGAATGAATATGTTTCCGCCTTTCAACCCAGATATCTAGAAGTAAATATTCTAGTGCTCATCAACGCTGTGACCCTAAGACCACACTCTGTAATAGGACTGATGATTATCATGTTCAGAATAACCTGAGTTATGCGAGCAACTAGGGAAGTTTTAAAGAAAAATGGTAACGAACAGGAACCGTTCTACCAAAATCAGTTTGGAATTTCTGGGATGCGTACGGAGAAAAAGGGACTTAGAGAATTTGACACTCACAAGACATTAAGACATAGAGAAATAGCAACTAAACTAACAAGTTTGTCCAAATAGAGAACAGAACAGGCACAGCATAGGATAGTAAAAAGACAAACACTGCTAAGTGCTACAAAGTATAGGAAGTTGTGAAGAACCATGATCACCCACGTCCTGAAGGGAGGCGGCACATGGAAAAGGAAAAAAAAGAAGAATAAAAGAGAAATTGCTTTAATTCAACCACACAAGACAGTATTCGATGGCTGCTTGCCGAATGATCGATGACAATAAAAAAAGGTAAGCAACCAAGATCTTTCGATTCACACCCACTCCCTTATCTTTTGATAAGGAGTCGAAGTTTTTGTCCTGTTTACGATTGGGCTTCCGGTTTATTCTAAGACTTTTCATTTCTCTTTCAATCCCAATAGAAACTTGTGTTTTAGCGCCATTATCGCCTTGCTTGGGGTGAAATTAAAGAAAAAAATATAGACACATAACCAAGATTGTGTCGAAAGGCCGGAAGTATGAGGCATCCATTGCGAATCGAACACACTATTCAGTCGTAATTGATCTCGCGAGACAAGCTTCCGAACCATTACACTACGTCGAGGAGGCCTTCCTGTCGCGTGCAAGTGCAATGAATAAATTATCATCTAAATTACGCAAAAATGAAAATAACACTAACATCTCATGGTATCAGATCTCATTCAATTATGAGCCATACATGATACACGCTTAAGCGATCATGTATCTTTCGATACATGACTGACGAAGCAGATTTTTTCCATGCAGTAGATTGCCATTTCTTTTTGCAGTGGACCACTTGCCATCCAAGGCTTTCGAACCCAGTCTGTCCTGCTATTTACCCAGAGCTGGTGGGAGAAGAAGATTCATACCTTTCCCAAGGGTATGAGCACGTCACTGAATGTAATGGATTCGACTGGAATTCGAACTCGGCTCGCTGATTACTTAATCCAAGCCGCTAACCATTGCTATATGTTATAGTTACCGAAATTACACAAAAGAGTAACCACGGACTCCAGATGACTTCGGAATCTCCTGCACCTCTTCTGGACGGTCTCCTTGTTTAAGTTGGTGAATGCTGTCATAATTTTTGCCATCAGTTCATCTTTAGTGTTACAAGGTGTTTTGTTGGTCTCTAACTCAACTGACCCCCACATATAATAATCATTGGGGTGGCACTCTGTGGAATTAGGTGGCTAGATGCAAGGGGTGGTGTGGCCGCAGAATATGTCTGAAAGCCATAACTGGGTTCTCCTGTTTGTGTGGTATGGTGCAGTGTCCTGTTGCTAGAAATAGGGTCTTTCAGCTGACACCCTCTTAACCCAGGGCAGCACTACCTCCCCAAGGAACTTGATGTAGTCCTCCATGATGATTCTGAGACTATGTGGGATGATAAATTGAGGGATAACTAGTGATCACACCAAACATCTTCATAATTACCACTCGACTAATCCAACTTTATCCGAATCCTTTGCACTGTCCTCAGTGAACAAACATTCTGAAATGTTCATATTTGAGCTTCCGGCGCGAATGCCAAGCAGTACAGTATTTCGTTTCCAAATTTGTATCGGAGTGAATTTCGTTATGGTGCAACTGTTCTCACAGATGGTGCCCAACTGACCCTACTATACAGTGCGGTCGACAAAGTCAAAAACAAACAACGCGCATGCGCGAAATTTAAAAAAAAAATAAGATGACGACAATTTATCCATCGTACTCTGTGTGTGTATATATATATATATCTATATATATCTATATTGTTATGCGGACGGGCATGTGTGTGCTTGCATCAACTGGCTTCTTTTTTTAAAAAAAAAACGTCGATATAGTTGTTATCTTACTAGGGACAAAGATATATCTTTTCTCTCTCTTTCTTTTCGTATACAGTAGAGAAGCTATGGATTAGATTCCAGATATTTCTAAAATACACATACGAATAAAGTTGTCTTTGACTTCTCACTGGAGAACCGCCATTTTCTTGTCTTTTAATATGAAGATCTCCTATCAGAAAAGGTCGTCCGTCCCTCGACACCGGGACTGACTTGCGTCAAGTTTAGCGCTCGCGTCTCTGTTTGATACCGGCGCTTCTAATAATAAACTCATCCACGGCGAGAAATAGTGTCGTCTTCTGTCTGAATTTCGGGACTTTTGACCTTTGACACTGGCCATTCCTCGGTCTTGGCGCCACGAATTGATGTGGATAAAAGATAAAATCAAACGAATGCAAAAATTACATCTTTTCGAGTGTGGTCTGGGTTTCATTCCCTTGATTTATGTTTCTCTTTCTTTCACGGTCTTTCCTTTCATTCATTCATTCATTCTTTCTTTCTTTCTTTTTTCTATATTTTCAATATCTCTCCATTTTCATTTTCTCTTTCTTTCTTTCATTCTTTCATTCATTCATTCTTTCTTTCATTGGTTCCCTGCTTGCTTTCTTTCTTTCTTTCTTTCTTTGATTCCCACTTTCTTTCTTTCTTTCTTTCTTTCTTTGGTTCCCGCTTTCTTTCTTTCTTTCTTTCTTTCTTTCTTTCTTTCTTTCTTTCTTTGGTTCCCGCTTTCTTTCTTTCTTTCTTTCTTTCTTTCTTTCTTTCTTTCTTTCTTTCTTTCTTTCTTTCTTTTTCTTTCTTTCTTTAATTCCCTCTTTCTTTTTTTTTGTTTCCCGCCTTCTTTCTTTCTTTCTTTTATTTCTCTTTTCTATATTTCTCCATTTTCATTTCCTCTATCATTCAGTCATTTATATCTTTCTTTCTCTGTTTCTTTAAATTTTATTATATCCCAATTTTTTTAATTTTTTTTTTCTTGCTTTCTTATTTTTTCTCTCTTTTCAATTTTTCTCTATTTCCATTTCCCCTTTCTTTCCAACTACCGTTCTTTCTTTCTTTCATTCTTTCTTCGTTTCTTTCTTTCTTCATTTCTTTCTTTATATTTTCTTTCTTTCTTTCTATTTTTCTCTTTATATTTTACAATGATCCCACCTTCTTTTCTTCCTTTATATTTTATTATAGCCTAATTCTTCTTTCTTTCTTTCTTTCTTTCTTTCTTTCTTTCTTTCTTTCTTTCTTTCTATTGTTTACATTCCCATTTTGTCTGTTTGTTTTTTCTTTCTTCCTTTATTTTTTTGCTTTCTTTCTTCCCGCTTCTTTCTTTTTTCCATAATTTTGTCTTCAAAATTGTCTTCATGTTCTTTCTTTCTTTTTTAGCCTGTTTCTTTATATTTTATTTTATCCCCATTTTCGTTCATTTTTTCTTTCTTTCTTTCTATTTATTTTATTGTCTACATTTTCTGTCTGTCTGCCTGTCTTTCTTTCTTTCTTTCTTTCTTTTACTTTCTTTCTTTCTTCCTCCGTTCATTTCTGCCTTGTTTTCTTTTTCTTTTTATCTTTATATCTTATTACGTCCCCATTTTCGTTCGTTCGTTCGTTCGTTCGTTCGTTCTTTCTTTCTTTCTTTCTTTCTTTCTCCCCTCTTTCCTCCTTTCCTTCCTTACCGCTTTCTTTTCTTTCTTTATAGTTTTATATGTCCATTTTCTTTCAATCTTTCTTTCTTTCTTTTTTATTTCTCCCCTCTTCCCTCCTTTCCTTCCTTAACGCTTTCTTTTCTTTCTTTATATTTTTATATCTCCATTTTTTTCTTTCTTTCTTTCTTTCTTTCTTTCTTCCTTCCTTCCTTCCTTCCTTCCTTCCTTCCTTCCCGCTTTCTGTCTTTGTCCCTTTCTTCCTTCCCGCTTTATTTTCTTTCTTTATATTCTTGCATATCCCTGTTTTCTTTCTTTTTTCTTTCTTTTTCCTTCTTTCTTTCTTTCTTTCTTTCTTCTCTATTTTCAACATTTCTCAATTTGCATTCTTATTTCTTCCTCATTCTGCTTCTTTATATTTTATTGTCTCCATTTTCTCTTTCTTTCTTTCTTTCTTTCTTTCTTTCCTTCTTTCTTTCTTTCTTTCTTATCACCAGTTTATTTTTGCTATCCAGTGTCTTCATTTCCTTCTATCTGCCATTTTGTCTTGCCTCCCTTTTTCTTTTCATATCTCTCATTTATATGTTTACTAGCAGTAGAGCCCGGCGTTGCCCGGGGATGTAACAGTAAGAGATAGATCAAGTATCGACCATCATAAAGACTGAAAAATAAAATTAACAAAGATTATTGCTTAATGTTTTCGGACACGCATGTCTTAATTAGTTTTTTGTTTTTTTTTACGAATTGGTCAAACCCAAACTCAAACAAAAACATTGTTTTCAATCGTTATGAGTCTACCGATTGAATAGAATTTTATTATAAACAATTGTCTTGTAAATGGAATTTTTTAAAGCATTCTGAATATAAAAATAAAGAAAAAAGTGTGCAAGACAATGAGAAACACTACACGCTAAAAAAAGTGAAGTGTTGAAATCGGTTGAAAAATGTAGCAAATCCGATCCCATAAATAAACGAACACACACACACATACACACACGCAAATAACCTGGGTTTTATAATAAGTATAACTCGATATGAGTTGCCCTCTTTCATTCTGGCGACAGAATCGTGTTTTATCGTGTTTTAAAAATGATTTCGCGCAAAAACAATTGTGTTTTTCCATTTTTGGCGGTGTCAGAAACACCGCAAGGTAATTTTACGTAGTCCTGTGAAGTTTTGTTGAAATCGGTTGAAAAATGTAGGAAATCCGATCCCATATATAAACGAACAGATACACACACACACACAAACACACACACACACACACACACAAACAACCTAGGTTTTATAATAAGTATAACTCGATATGAGTTGTCCCCCTTTCATTCTCGCGATGCCTCTTAATCGTGTTTTCAAATTGATTTTGTGCAAAAACAATTGTTTTTCCAATTTTTTGCGCTGTCAGAACCTCCGCAAGGTAATTTTACGTAGTCCTGTGAAGTTTTGTTGAAATCGGTTGAAAAATGTAGGAAATCCGATCCCATATATAAACGAACACACACACACAGACACACACAAACAACCTGGGATTTAATAATTATAACTCGATATGACACCCTTTCATTCTCGCGATGCCTCTCAATCGTGTTTTCAAATAGATTTCGTGCAGAAACAATTGTTTTTCCAATTTTTGGCGCTGTCAGAACCACCGCAAGGTAATTTTACGCAGTCCTGTGATGTTTTGTTGAAATCGGTTGAAAAATGTAGGAAATCCGATCCAATATATAAACGTACACACACACACACATACACACACACACACACACACACAACCTGGGTTTATTATAATAAGTATGATTTCCCTTTCTTATTTGCTCCTTTCTTTTTTTTTCATCCTTTCTGCGTTTTTAAATTTCCTCTTCGTCTCATTCCTATTCCGTTTCTATGCCTCTATTTTCTCTTGCCTTCTTTTTACTTCAAATCACTCAATGATCTCTCTGGGTTATTCACATTGGCATTACCAGGACGCCTTTAAGGGGCGCTGTTAACAACTCGTTTCTCTCTTTTCCTTCTAGCGAGCGTTAGAAGGGGACGCCAACCAGAACATTGTCCCCTGGCCTGAGAGCGTCTTTACCCCTAGTGTCTAAACTTTCACACACACACACACACACACACACACACACACACACACACACAGCATAACATAACCTACAGCATTCCTAACTTTAAATGCCTTTTTTTCTTTTACATGCATTCTTTTCCTATGTCTCATGCCTCTCCAGGACGCTGAAAATCATGGCTCTCCACAATTTCCTATCATTTGTAGCTCTTAATAACGTTTGTCCTTTTGCCATCTTTTCCAAACCTTGTTCCGTCATCCATTCACTCAAGTCCGCCAGGTTGATTGTGCGATGCTTTACTCTGTCTCACTTGCTTTCAATCAGTCCTGTGAGTACTTAGTTTTCCAAGCCCTCTCTCCTCATTATGTGTCCTAGATATTTATCTCTTCCTGATGTTAAGTATGTCTTTTTTTTTTGTTGCTATTGGCTCTAGGACAACATTTATGTTGGTTTACGTCTTTTCTTCATCTGTAAGGAGATTGTCCAGTATTCACTGCCAGATAGATAGATAGATAGATAGATAGATAGATAGATAGATAGATAGATAAGATAGATAGATAGATAGAAAAAGACTGTGGTAGATAGATAGATAGATAGATAGATAGATAGATAGATATGAACAAATGTGCGAGGTTTCATAATGCACTGCCTGAGATAGATAGATAGATAGATAGATAGATAGATAGATAGGCCTTACCCACATTACGTTACAGATGAGATCTTGTCCCCAATGTCCATGAATCCAAAGGAATTACAATTTGGCACCAGCGCTGTCGCTGGAGCTGCCAGAACGGGGTTGAAATCAGCAACGAACACCCTTAGAGGCAACAAGTCCGAATTTTCAGCTGTATTGTAAGTGCTACGCCATAGTTACATAATTTTTGAATTCAGAGTTACTACTAGACCGGTTGCCCAGTTTACGAACTCCGATTCCTCAATCAGAGCCACTATCCATTACACCACCATATACGTGGTGAATATGGCTACGAAGATGAGGACCAATGTAAATAGTGTAAATAATTACAATATGTCATCTCAGAAGTATAGTCAGATCCTAAAGAAGACCGGTTCGTACAACGGTCGAAACCTCGTGAATATGGCAACGAAGATGAGGACAACAGTTCGAACAATGTAAATAGTGCAAATAATTAGATATCGCATCTCAGAAATATAGCCTGATCCTGAAGAAGACCGGTTCGTACAACGGTCGAAACCTCGTGAATATGGCAACGAAGATGAGGACAACAGTTCGAACAATGTAAATAGTGCAAATAATTAGATATCGCATCTCAGAAATATAGCCTGATCCTGAAGAAGACCGGTTCGTACAAAGGTCGAAACGTCGTGAATATGGCAACGAAGACGGGGACAACATTCGGAACAATGTAAGTATTGCAGGGAATATAAAAAACTGCAAAAAAGAAGTTAGGAACAAATGCGGCCAAAAAAAAAGCCTGTCTCATCGAAATGATGAGTGATGTAGCTGAAGAAGTTACACATATAGGTTGACGAGAATTGACAAGGTTAAACTAATACTCATCAACAGGCTACACAAAATCCAAGGACGGAACACGGATAACAGAAGAAAAATACTTCAGAGAAGGAACACAGACATCGAAGTAGTCTGCCATGACGAAAGCGGGCAACAGGCAATACAGAAATATTAAAATCTTAAGTTAAATCAGCTCTGACTATATCTCGAAGATGAGGTGTTATGAATATGAGGTTTTACGATTACTTGCATTATTTACATTATTCGAGGACTTATCCTCATTTTCATTGCCATATTCACAACGTTTCGACCTCTATATCTCTGAGATGAGGTATTATGATTACTTGCATTATTTACATTATTTGAACTGTTATCCTCATCTTCCTTGCTATATTCACAGGGGTTCTGCCTCAATATTTCTGAGATGAGGTATTATGATTACTTGCATTATTTACATTTTTGGGACTGTTATCCTCATCTTCATTACCATATCCACAACGGTTCGGCCTCTAGATCTCTGAGATGGGGTATTATGATTACTTTCATTATTTACATCATTTGAACTGTTATCCTAATTGTTATAATGATTTCAGCACTGACAAAAATACATAGATGACAAGTGCAACATACAACAGTGGCGAGATACCGGAAGACCTAAGTAGATCCATTTTCATGGCGCTGCATAAGAAGCCAGGTGTAAACGAATGCGAAATCCATCGGTTGAATCAGCCTAATGAACCACTTTTTAATAAATTAGAATTAGATTCGAAATAGAAACAGCATTGCTGGTAAATTACAGACACTAAAAGAAGGAATACGATATTCATACTTAAATTCGTATCAGAAAGGTCAGTAGAGATGCAAAAGGGGGTAAACCTATGTTTTACTAAATTATCCGAAAGCGTTTGCTAACGCACATCAAAATGAACTGTTTGAACTGCTAGGTAAGATTGACTATTGTCCTCATCTTTGTCGCCATATTTATTACAACGTTTCGGCCGTGGTACGCTCGGGCCTTCTTCAGGTGGTTGAATTTGTCGAACTGAACCCTTTATTTCGCTCACTGGGGTAGATTGTTATAGTTCCACGTGCCATGTTTTTTTTTTTTTTTTTTTAATGGATGTCAGTTATCTCCTGTTAATTTCCCTCTTCAAGTTCTCCACTGCCTTAACCGGGTATTGAAAACACTCCTTGGGTCCTGTCACTGGATCTAACCAACGCCTTTCTCCAGTGTGCTATGTGTCCTGAAGAAGGCCGGAGCGTACAACGGCCGAAACGTTGTAATAAATATGGCGACAAAGATGAAGACAATAGTTCGAATAATGTAAATAGTGTACATAATACCTCATCTCAAAAATATAGAAAGATTGATTTATTTGGGAAGGATATTAGAATAATCCACAACCTATACTTAAGCAAACAGCTTGCATACAGATAGAAAATGAATTCTGCAAATATACAAAAATAGAAAGGAATGTAAGACAAGGTGGTGTCTTCTCACCGGACTTATTCAAACTATACATTGATGCGATTCTGAGAGAATTAAAAGTACTAGCATAGTTCATTATTGCCGGCCACAGACTTAACAACATAAGATATGCTTCTCATACCGTTTTGGTAGCAGACACGGAAATGAAACTAAAAAAAAAAACAGTGGAGGAAAGAGAGAAGAAAGGACTAACTATCAATTGCAAGAAGAAAAAAAAAGCATGGTTGCTAGCAAATGAACGTAACAAGCAATCTGCAAATTAGAGATATCGAGAAGCCAACAAGTACAACAATGTAAATATCTGGGAAGTCTTTTAACAGAGCACCAGAAACCGAAAACTGATTAAGACAGCGAAAGGTACCTTCCAAAATTTATTCAAAATATTAAAAAATTTCGTTAGAAACAAAGAAAAGAGGACTGGCCTGTTGCGTAATATCACTCTTTCTATACGACAGTGAATGCTGGAGAATCCCCGCACAGTTAAAGAAATCATTCTCAGCATCCTACTATATAAACAATTTTACCTTCAGTATATCCTGGGAGTGTTAAATTCGCCAAGCCTTTTTTCATCATTTCACTTGTTTCTGATTCTGGGTAGAGATAATAGAATACCCCAGAACCAATACTGGCAACAAACCGGCTGCATGTGGATAGAAAGTGAATTCTGTAAATATACAAAACAGAAAAGGATGTAAGACATGGGTGTGCCTTCTCACCGGACTTGAGGGAATTAGAAGTTCTTCCAGAATTCAATTTTGGCGGCAACAATTTTAATAACATGACATGTGCAGATGAAACAGTGTTGATATCAGACGCAGAATGGAAACTAGAAGAAGTCCTACAGAAAACTGGTTTGGTTTGGTTTGGTTTGGTTTGGTTTGCAGAATATCAATCTCAATGTGTTATTTGATACCGACAAGATTTTTATTTGTTGGTAAATTTTTTTCCAGAAATGTATAGCTGGTAATTTTTTTTTCTCAAAAATGTATTTCCCAAAAAAGTTTTTCCAAAAAAACTTATTGCTGGTATTAAAGCCTATTTTTATAGTTTCATAGTGTTTTGACCCTTTTGGAGGGGTTAGCTATTTGCACATAGCTGGAACCCTGACAGGTGTTACCACCCCGGGTCAGGGTGGACCTGGGAACACCAACAATTAAGAGGTGGTATTACACTCATCATAACCTCCTGAACAATGGCCTTGCCGTCGGATGTAGTTTATCGTCTTACCCAGGACGCGGATGTAGTTTATCGTCTTACCCAGGACGCGGATGTAGGTTATCGTCTTACCCAGGATACGGATGTAGTTTATCGTCTTACCCAGGATATAGATGTAGTTTATCATGATACCCAGGACGACAGAAGGTACCCCAGGAATGCGAAAAGAATGGATTATATATTAATTGTAATGAAACAAAATTAATGGTTCTCATCAAAAAGGAAGAGGCTAAACAGCAAGTATAAAAACATTTAAATATCGAGGAAGTGTTTTAAAATCCGAAATCCGAAGGCGCATTGCGATCGTGAAAGATGCCTTCCAAAATCTAAGCAAATTATTAAGAAACAAGAAAATATTGTTAGAATGAATGAAAAAAACAAACTGTTATGTAATATCATTTCTCCTATATGACAGAAAATGCTGGAGAATTTCATCTCAAACGAAGAAGAGACTTGAGGTAACAGAAATGATATTCTACAGAAGGATGGTGAGAATAACGTGGATTGATCCTGTGGATATTGACAACGTTTTAGAGAAAGTGGAAACAAAAAGGACACTAATACTTTGCATCAGAAAAAGACAGTTGAAATTTCTAGGGTACATAATGAGGAAAGAGGGCTTAGAAAATGTGACACTCACAAGAGATATTGAAGGCAAGAGAGACAGAAGAAAAGCTGCGAATAATATACCTAAAAAGCTTCTGGTGATGGTTGATAGAACACAGATTAGGAGAGATAGCAAAACTACACACTTTTTTAAGGTCTACAAAGGAGAGGAACTTGTGGAGAGCCATGATCGTCCATGTCCTGAAATGACACGACGCATAGATAAAGAAGACTTTTTCTAGTTTCTTTTGCTTTTTTTTTTTTTTTTGCTTTTTTTTTTGTTTTTGTTCTTTTTTTTTAAACTGTTTTGAGAAAAATTAGGTTTATCTTTTAAGAATCTGAAACTTATATGAATATAATTTTAAACTTAAATTTTTGGGGCTGATTTTTCAAATGTCCGTCATTTTTGTTAACATTTTGAGGATTCCGTACTAACAGGAGACATAGTTAATTGCTTTCTTTTTTCATTTTTGTTCATTAAATCTCTTTTTTAGATTTACATGTTATGATAATTTATTCTTTTTACTATCGTTTTTCTTTAATTCGATAAAACAGAATCAATAATTTGTTAACACTATTAATTGCCACAAAATAATTTCCCAGAACCAAGGGAAATAACTTTTACATGAAGTTACCTCCCTTGAGATTTAATGTCATCGTCCAAAATTGTTAGCTCTATTATGTCTTCTCTTTTCAACATAAGGACACAAGCCGCAGAAATGATAGACAGATTACGAATGAATGGATACATGTTAAATCATAACTAATTGAATCAAAACGATTAATTTGGGATTCTTAAAAATCGTTGTAATTTGCTATGAAAAAATTAATTTTCATCTAAGTAATTCTTTTGTTATATACATATATGTAGATACCGTAGGTTGATGAAAGACATTTTAATAATAATAATAATAATAATATCTGTCTATATTTCTGAGATGAGGTATTATGTACACTATTTATACTATTCGGACTATTGTCTTCATCTTTGTCACCATATTTATTACAACGTTCCAGCCTTTCAGTATCTGTCTATATTTCTGAGATGAGGTATTATGTACATTATTTTACATTATTCAGACTATTGCCTTCATCTTTGTCGCCATATTTATTACAATGTTCCAGCCTTTCAGTATCTGTCTATATTTCTGAGATGAGGTATTATGTACATTATTTTACATTATTCAGACTATTGCCCTCATCTTTGTCGCCATATTTATTACAATGTTCCAGCCTTTCAGTATCTGTCTATATTTCTGAGATGAGGTATTATGTACATTATTTTACATTATTCAGAGGCCCTCATCTTTGTCGCCATATTTATTTAATGTTCCAGCCTTTCAGTATCTATATTTCTGAGATTATTCGAACATTATTCGAACTATTGTCCTCATCTTTGTCGCCATATTTATTACACCGTTTCGTCCTTTCAGTATCTGTCTATATTTCTGAGATGAGGTGTTATGTACACTATTTACATTATTCGGATTATTGTCCTCATCTTTATCGCCATATTTATCCGATCCTTCAGTATGTGTCTATATTATTGAGATGAGAGATTATGTACACTATTTACATTATTCGGACTATTGACCTCATCTTTGTCGCCATATTTATTACAACGTTTCGGCCGTTGTACGTTCCGACTTTCTCCAGGCTTCTTCTCCGGCCTTGAGGACACATGGCACAGTGGATAAGGGCGTTAGTTAGATTCTGTGACAGGACCCAAAGATTTTGAGTTCAATACCTGGTTAAGGCGGTAGAGAACATGGATAGGGGAATTAACAGGAGATAACTGATAACTGACATCCAATAGACATGGCACGTGTAACTAGATCAGTCTACTCCAGTGAGCGAAATAAAGGGTTCAGTTTGACATTCCAACCATCTGAAAAAAGGTCTTAGCGTGCAACGGCCGAAACGTTGTAATAAATGTGGCGACAAAGATGAGGACACTAGTCCAAATAGTGTAAATAATAATAATAATAATAATAACAATAATAATTATGATAACAATAATAATAATAATAATATTTTTTTTTTTTTTTTTTGTCAGTGGAAAGTGTCATGACGCCATTTCTAACCTTAGGTCCCTGCGCGGGACCCGGAAAGAAATGTGTAAACGCCAGAAATCAAAGAAAATAAAAATAATAATAATAATAATCATAATAATATTAATAATGCAAAAGTAACTTTCAAGAAAGGTATAATTACAGAAACACCCTTAATAGATTTAGATTTTGTCACAAAGATTAGGGAACTGGAGCATGGTGAAGCTTATAAGTACCTAGGAATTAGCGAAGGAGATGGCATACAACACCCCAAAATGAAGGAAACAATAAGAAAAGAATACTACAGGCGTGTACGTCTGGTACTAAATACTGAGCTGAACTCAAAAAACAGGATATCAGCCATAAAGACATTGGCTGTCCCTGTGGTGCAATACAGCTTTAATGTCCTTAACTGGACCATAGCTGAAATTAAGCGACTGGATGCCAAACGAGAAAGCTACTCACTTGCTATCGCATGCATCATCCCAAAGCTGATGTCGACCGTCTGTATGTGCCCAGATCCGAAGGAGGCAGAGGAATAGTTCAACTAGAACTGTCCTACAAAACTACAACAATTGGCCTCCAAAGATATTTGGAAACTACTGAAGACTGGATGATGGTATGCGTCAAGGAACATGAAAGTAGTAAGCGTCTCTACTCCGTAATGAAGGAAGCCAACAAATTCAAAATGTTCTTCAAATGGGCGTAGAGATGCAACTACAGCACAATACACCGGCTGAAACTGCAAAATACCTAAAAAAAAGATAGCTAAGACGAATGCAACAGACCAGTTACAGAAGCGATGGCAAGATAAACCGCTTCATGGCCAATACTCTGCCCGTACCAAACAAGCTGACGTAGACAAAACCCGTACCCATCAGTGGCTACGTAGTGCAGGGTTGAAAGCGGAAACTGAAGGTTTTATCCTTGCTGCGCAGGACCAATGCTTGCTAACTAGGAATTATCAAGCACATATACTAAAATATTGTGTCAGCCCAAAATGCAGATTCTGTGATAAATATCCAGAAACGATTGATCATCTTGTAGCAGGTTGTACGGTTTTGGCACCCACTGAATATAAAACCCGACATGACAGAGTGGGCCAATATCTGCACTGGAAAATCTGCAACTTCTACGGGAAGAAAACTGAAAGAAACTGGTATGAACACCACCCAGACCCGGTTACGGATATGGGACTTGTTACAATTCTATGGGACTACACAATACACACTGACAGAACGATCAAGGCCAACCGCCCAGATATTGTTATTAAAGACCACAAACAAAAACGGTGCCTCCTTATTGATATGGCAGTCTCTGCCGACTGCAATGTATCTTTGAAGATATTCAAAAGTTGTCAAAATACAAGGACCTTGAAATAGAAATCTCAAAATGTGGCATATGGGAACATCAACAATTCCTGTTGTAGTTGGAGCCCTAGGACTGGTTGGAAAAGATTGCAGTAGACTAATTGAAGGGATTCCTGGAAGTCCATGCCTCAAGGAGATACAGAAAATTGTTCTGACAAGTACAGCCCACACCTTACAAAGGGCTTTATCTATGTAATCATTTTTTTTTTTTTTTTTTTCAGTGGAAAGTGTCATGACGCCATTTCTAACCTTAGGCCCCTGGGCAGGACCCGGAAAGAAATGTAAACGCCAGAAATCAAAGAAAATAAAATAATAATAATAATAATATTAATAATAATAATATTAATATTAATAATAATAATATTAATAATAACAATAATAATAATATTAATAATAATGATAATATTATTAACAATAATAATAGTAATAATTATAATAATAATAATAATATAATAATAATAATAATAATATTAATAATAATAATAATCAGAAAGACCCGTGAAAATTTCAATGCTTTCCAATTTTAATTTTCTGATGAATCTATATTTTTAAGTTAATAAGCTCATGGCGACGTTATACGACATCAGTGAACCGTACAAATTCTCCTGTAGCTCTGTTAAATATTTGAGCTCAACAGATTTAACAAAATAATGCAATAATAATCAAAAATATGAATGCTTCTCGTTATTTTAAGAAGTAACGGGGTAGAAATGAAAAGATTGGAAAGTGGCAACTTTTTTCCATTTCACTGAAACAGACGTGAAACACTTCTTTCTTTCTTTCTTTCTTTCTTTTTCTTTCTTTCTTTTTTCTTTTTCTTTCTTTATTTCTTTCTTTTTTTTTTCTTTCTTTTTTTTTTTTCTTTTTTTTTTTTCTTTCTTTTTTTTTTTTTCTTTCTTTCTTTTATCTTTCTTTCTTTTCTTTTTTTTTCTTTTTCTTTCTTTTTTTTTCTTTTTTTTTCTTTTTCTTTTCTTTCTTTCTTTTTCTTTCTTTTTTCTTTTCTTTCTTTTTTCTTTCTTTTTTCTTTTTTTCTTTCTTTTTTTTCTTTTTTTCCTTTTTTTTTCTTTCTTTCTTTCTTTCTTTCTTTTTTTTATTTCTTTTCTTTTTTCTTTTTTTTTCTTTTCTTTTTTTTTTTTTCTTTCTTTCTTTTTTCTTTCTTTCTTTTTTCTTTCTTTCTTTCTTTCTTTCTTTTTTTCTTTCTTTCGCTGCGATCCTACAATGTCTTAAATTGTGTTCATTCTTTCAATCATTCTGTCAGTTTTTCTTTTTCCGCTCTCTTCATCCTTTTACCCATTCCTTTCTTTCTTTTTCTTTTTCGCTTTCTTTCCTTATTTTTTTTTTTTTTTTCGTTCTTTCTTATTCCTAGCTGCCCTATAATGTCTCAGACTGTGTTCATTCTTTCACTCATACTGTCAGTTTTATTCTTCGCCCTCCTCAGTTTTTTTACCCATTCCTTTCATTCTTTCTTTCTTTCTTTCTTTCTTTCATTCATTTTCTCGAAACCATGTCACGTTTCTGATGTGTGTTTTGTTTTTTCCACGCAATCAAAACGCAATAGTCCATTATTTCCGAGGTATTGCAGGAGATGTTAATCTATCTATCTATCTATCTTTTTATCATTGAAACCAAGTAGTGTCTGTTTCCCTCTGTCTAAGGAATAGTCCACTGTTTATAAAGTATTGGCAAAGGTGTAACGGTCCTGCAAACTAACGAAGGGTGGGACAAGCACAATTATAATAAAATATTATTATTATTATTATTATTATTAGTAGTAGTAGTAGTAGTAGTAGTAGTAGTAGAAGAAGTAGTAGTATATTATTAGACTATTATAAAAAATATGAGGATGATGAGAAAAATGTCAAAATTGTACTAGAGGATATACTCTTTTATGAAAGAAATATTTTCATATATATATATATATGTGTGTGTGTGTGTGTGGGTGTGTATGTGTGTGTGTGCGTGCGTGTATGTGTGTGCAAATATGTTAATAAAATAGGTAAGAACAATTAGATTGATGATCTGTAGATCTGAAGCATTTTTGGTTTTATTTTTAAAAAACAGTGCTCGATACACTAGTAGAGCCTAGATTATAACTAATTTTTTAAATTTTTTATTTAAAAAAATGATTATAATATATATATATATATATATATATATATATATATAATTATATATATATATATAAAAATTGATAAAATAGGAAAGAACCGTAAGTTCTTTAGTATTTTTGTTTTTTATTTAAAAAAAAGTTCTCAATTCACAAGTAGAGCCTAGATTATAATATTTTTTTTTTCAAAATAAGATTCCATCGCTATACAGGAATTATCATGTTTCAAAAACAGAAGCTAAAAACTTGCAATTCAGTTATAAAAAATTAAATTAGATTAAATTATCTAGTTCTGTTTCATTTTCAAGCCAATTTTGGAATTTTATCAGAGAGTGCGTGTTTATTTAGAAAAAAAAATCAAAACTATCAATTACATTAATTTTTTGGCTTAGTAATTCACCTCTGAAGATGATCTTGGAATGAAATTGAAAATACTTGGGAAAATAATAGAAATAACCAAAATTATGGCGTCTTTCTTAATCATGTTAATAACAACACTAAGAAATTGATCCGTGAAATATAGAGGATTAAAATAAAATAAATAGACACAATCTAGATTATTAAAACACACACACACACACACACACACACACATACATATATATATATATATATATATATATATATATATATATATTGTCTGATAAGCTATATTATCGTTGAAAGACCCTATTGATACATTTCTAAATTCAATCTAAGTTTCGTTTTAGGGTCTTTTCAATAAATCAAACAACACACGGACAAACAACAATGATAGTCTGCCCTTGCTGCAGACAAATTATTAAGTAGTGTTTTTTCTAGGGATTTTCATTCTTTGTAAGATTTTTTTCTATCTATCTATCTATCTATCTATCTATCTATCTATCTATCTATCTATCTATATATATATATATATAATATATATATATATATTTTTTTCCTTCCCAAGTATTTAAATTCTTTCTTCTTTGTAAACTGACATCCATTAAAACATGGCACGTTATACTAAACAGTCCAGAGCGAAATAAAAGGTAGTCCGACATGTTTACCCAACGTTTCGACCGTTGAAGTTCCGATTTCACACCTTCTTCTCCGGCTTTGAGGACATAACAGTGGATAAGGGCGTTAATTAGATCCTTCACATCGGTTCATGACAGTGAGAAATGGAGAGGGAAATTATTCACAGATGTGATAAACATCCAAGACTGGCGCAAGGCTGTGTCTACCCCAGTAAGCGAAATAAAGATTTCAGTTCGACATTCCAACCAGCTGAAGAAGGCCGGAGCGTACCAAACGTTGTTGAACTGTCATATCAATAATGTACATTCTTTTCTTTCTTTTTTTTTTTTCTTAATAAACAATGGCATGACAATGAAACTTTATTCACAGGAGGACTGGCGCAAGGCTGTACCGAAATTTTAGAAAAATATTTGCTAAAATATCTTAATAAACAATGATTAAAAAATTTTGTTATGTTGGCACAAGTTCAAGAAGAGGTGCCAGCAACAGTTAACTCAACCTAGAGATGAGCTTTTTAAACATCAACAAAAATTTATCCTTCCTTCTGCTTCGGATTTACGTCAAGCCATGTTTTCATACACATTCACTAAATGTGATTTCAAAATCAGGCACTTCGGCCTTGCGGCTGTCGCTGCTAATCTTTTAAGAAATTCGTATAGTCGGGGTATCTTTCTGACATTAACCATCAAAGTAATATAACTATTCTTGATAAGGGAAGTAACTCAGAAAATATTTTACAGGGTTACCGTTCTTGAATAGTATATATATTTATCTTTTTTAAAAATTTGCATGGAGTAAGGAAAAAGGAAGAGAAAAAAACTGAAATATTTATGCTAATTAATAATAATGTTTTTATAACAAAAAGATATTTTCACATGAAAAGATTCTATGCCCAAAAATACATATTTAAAAAAATAAGTATATCTTTTTTTTTAATTTAAATTTTCCAGCGTCTCTAGTTTGTGCGCTTGTGTAGTCGTGTTACGGATGGTATATTGACCCACAATCAAACGTTGAATGACGGAAAAGAACAACAAACAAAACGAAGACTTAAGTAAAAATATATTGCAAAGGTTCTCTTTTATTAAAAACAAAATACATAAAGAAAAATAATGCTAGTGTGAACTAAACAAAAGATAACTCTGCAAGCTCATGTAGAGGATAGAAATAGCGATGTGCTGAGCAGGACTGCTTTATTAGTGGATGGAGTGCATTGTCCTGAAAAGTGCAGTTTACTGCATATCATTGGCAAGGATGGCTCAAGCTGGAGGCCTGCTGGTGATGTCTGGAGCGGCAGGATCAAGAGGTCCTTTGGAGAAGGCTGGAGCGACAGCCGATGGCAATCTGGAGATGATGATGTCTGGCTAGCTGGAAATACTGCTGATGGCTGGAGCCGTGAGCTGGTTCTCGGCTGCTGGAATAGACATTTTGATCCTAATCATCTGGACCGCGGAATGCTGCTTTTTTGTTGCTTTTAACGCCTCTTTATACACAGAATCAGTTTTGCAATAACGCGTGTGAAAGCTTTTTCTTCCAGTTGTTTAAAAAAAAATGTGGGTTTGTTGACAGTATATGACCGTCGCATCACTGCAAACAAAAATTTAGACCAATGAAATCCTGGTAACTATGATGTTTGGATTAAAAATACGTCACAATTTTCTCGTGGGAATTTACACTATTGATACTAATGTTTGGACACTTTATAGTAACTCTAATATAATTGTCCCGCAAACAATATTCGAGGACTCAGTCGAGTCCGGGAACAAATAAGACATTTGAATTAAGAAGAAGAGAAAGAAAAAAAACGGCAATTATATGGATGTGTTAACAAAAATAATATGATGTATACACAATTGAAATGAAAAGAAAAGACGTTGAAAACTAGCTATAAGAATGTACTTGTTTGTTTGTTCCTCTGGGGAGGCGGCAAAATAAACGTGTGCGCATGTCCGAGAATTGAAAAGTCAACAGAAGACCAAGGAAGCGAACGCGCCATGTCGGCAGAGTCCTTATTATACGTTTGACTACATCTGAAAGCAAGAGTTAAAAAGAAAACGAAAGAGAGAATATACTTGCCTTTATATAGACTTACAGAGAGGACCCTAAGGAGCGTTTTTTTTTTTTTTGGGGTAACACACTTCACGTCCTACAAAGACTTTTTACCACTTCTTCATGCTACTTATCCCATGAAATTAAATTATTGGAGTTCAAGCAAAAGTTAAATACATTGATAACATCTTTCTCAAAAAAAAAAAAAGAAAAAATTGGTGAATGTCATTATCGAAAAATATATTTTCCCATAACAGCAGAAATATTTATTCTTACAACGAGAAATTAGCATTCGATAATGTTTGCATTATTCTTAACCATTGGAATTCTTATTTTATTTTGTTTTTCTTATTTTATTTTGTTTTTCATTAACAATATGTTTAATCACACTGTTTTACCGATAATATATACATTACATCACAAACACATAACACCTTTCTACTTGATTTTCTATGAAATACGATTCTACTTGATTTTCTATGAAATACGAGATGAAATCATTAGCAATGATTTCATATTCCATTAAAATATATATATAATATTATATATATATATATATATATATATATATATATATATATATAAAGGTAATGAAGGGTTTGGTAATCCGTGTGGATAATTCCAAAGAGGATGTAATCCAGAGAGCTCCATGTAAAAACAGAGCAAATAATAATTAAATAAAGGTTAAATGAACATAATATATTTCCTTATTTAAAGAAAATTTAAATTTAAATTTATTTCCTTATCCTTAAGAAAATAAATTATACCCATGGAATCTTAAGGTTATTCAGTATATATATATATATATATATATATATATATATATATATATATATATATATATATATATATATTCATACATATTTCATTAAATAATATAGACAAGTGTTGTCGATTTATTTTATATAAATTCTTTTCATAACACCTGATAAGCTTAATATCATTATCATTAAACGAAGAAAGAAAATCACAATATTGATACATATTTTTAAATACAATCTAAGCTTTCGGCTTACATAAGCCATGATCGAAGATGTCAATTACTGTACAATATATTAAGCAATATACGGACAAGTCTGTTTCTGTTTACATGGATGATTTCCAAGCAACTATAAACACGTGCATATAAGACGCTGGAAGCGAAAATCGCTCCGCAGCTCATGACATCACACATGAACACGCGAGAGTATTAAGTATGGAAAGCCGTTGGTATAAACCAATGGTTTCTGTTACCAATTTTAGACATTTAAGAATATTTGTGGAGATTTCATAGTTTATTTTGTTTTCAAGTGTTTTATGTATATAGCTTCAAGAATTTTTAGGTTTTGTTTACTGTTTTCATGTTTAAGTATAATTGTATGTGTGTGTGTAATAATAAATAATAATAATAATAATAATAATAATAATAATAAAGTTAATGATCAGAGAAGAATTAGACCAAGAAAAAGTAGTATTAAAAAGTTCTCAACACACGTATAAAAAAGAATTTAATATGTAATAAGTATAAAAATTAGGATATATATATATATATATATATATATATATATATATATATATATATATATATATTATAATTATTTTAAAATATATTTCCATCGTTACAAAGAAATTACTGTTTCAAAACCAAAACTTAAATTAAACTTAAAATTTTAATTTCAGTTTCATTTTCAAGCAAAGCTGAGAATAACCATAATAATAATAATAATAATAATAATAATAATATTCTCGATTTGAAAATGGAAGTGAAATTCAAATTTTAAGTTGTAAGATTTAAGTTTTGAAACATAGTAATTTCTGTGTAGCGATGGAAATATATTAAAAAAAAACAATTATAACATATATATATATATATATATATATATATATATATATATAGAGAGAGAGAGAGAGAGAGAGATGGATAGGAATCATACAAAATCATAGGATAAGAACAAGTAGGAAACAGATCTTCATCTAACATTTTTTAATATATTTAATATCGAGCACTTTATATAAAAAATATCTGCTGTTTCTTGAATCTTAAATCTTGGAATCATAAATGGAAACATGATGAGAAAGATTTTCAAAATCGAAATTTTCAGACACGTTTGTGTACATTCTCAACGAGACTAGAATTTAAAAAAAAAACTAAAAATGAGGTACGTCATACTTTTCCGGGGAATTTGTTTTTCGTATGCGTCATATTACCGAAGAGATCTGATAGATTTTAGCTAGCTAGCTGCCATGATTAGGATTGAATAGTGTTTGTGAAAGGATTTCTGTGGAAACTATTCTTTGGGTATGCATGGATTCCTGTTCAAGCCAAGAATACGTGAATCTTTTTTTTAAAAAAAAAACAAAAAAACATGCCATTTAACTCCGACGGTCTTGTTGGGATTTAAATGAATCGGGTGGCATTTAGCTAGCTCCTTTGGGGAGGGGGTAGATCTTGGTTTGGCCATCATCCCAATAGCTAGGGAAGAGTAGATGAAAGGAGGAGCAGTAGAAATTGTTCTGTTTAGGAATATTTTCTTATATAGTGCAGAAAAATGTTTGAAATTTGCATTTTACTTGGCCTTCAACAAGTTGACATCTATTTGTAAAACTTTCCTTAACTATAACAAGCCAATTTATAAATGAAATGTTCATTTAAAATTTTTGTTTCAAAGACTTCAAATAGTGGATATATCTTACTTTGCGAACGGGCGAAGCCTGCTAGTATATATATATATATATATATATATATATATATATATATATATATATATATATATATATATATATATATATATATCAGAAACTAAAATCAGAAACCACACCTTGCCTTCAAGTGGACTCGTCCTGAACACCTACAGTTCCGCCATATGCGA